CATACACATACACATACACATACACATACTTAGTTAGTTAGCAGTTACTTATATACCGCTTCATAGGGCTTTCAGCCCCCTGTAAGCAGTTTACAGAGTCAGCATATCGCCCCCAACAACAATCCGGGTCCTCATTTTACCCACCTCGGAAGGATGGAAGGCTGAGTCAACCCTGAGCCGATGAGATTTGAACAGCCGAACTGCAGAACTGCAGTCAGCTGAAGTAGCCTGCAGTGCTGCATTTAATCACTGCGCCACCTCGGCTCTGTGATTGACCACTTCCCCATAGCCATCCTACGTCATTATTCATGTGCGGTGAGAATCTTGTATGCAAAAAGATGGAAGCATACTAATTCCCACCATGGAAGAATGAATGGTAAAGATGATGGAGTTGGCAGAGGCAGCAAATCTGATTGTATTAACTAGAATTTATTTACTTTCATTCTACTCGGAAAGCATTTCTGGATTCCCCCCCCACTCCGATTCTGAAAAAAAGTATACTTTGATTTTAGTGTTTTGAAGGTGGGAATGATTTTGTTGTTATAAAAATGACTTGAATTGTTGAGAAAGGTAAAGCAAAAGGTTGAGGTTGTAATTTTTTTTTTTTTGTATTTTACTGTCCGGAAACGTCGGAAATTACTATTTTTTCCTTCCTTTCTCTCAGCACCCTTCTTCCTTCTCCTAGCTTTCTATTGTTTTGTGATCTAGTCTTTCGTTTTGTACTTTTGTCTTATAATAAACGATAATATTTTTTTTTTAAAAAATGTGCTGTCAAAAGACAAATAATTCTGGATTTTAAAACATAAAGGGCAAATGTGGCTGAATTCTTGAGAAGAGGGGATCATGTCCATTCTGTGATTTGTTCTAATTTTTGCAGAAGACTTTCTTGATGAGAAGCTTCTTTAAAAAACTGGCTGGAAGACTTTGGACCAACCATACCCTCTTTCTCAGCCCATCCCACCTCACAGGGTTGTAGTTGTAGGGCAAATAGTATTAGGGATGTTTGCTGCTTTGAGTTACTTATAAAGTAATAAAGGCAAAATAAAAATCAAATGAATGAATGAATGAATTGTTGTGGCTCACCAGCAGCCAGTGGAGCTGGCAGCAGATTCAGATAGTGAGGAGGTTGGGGAGGAATATGGGCCAGTCCTGGAGGCTGGGGAAGGCTCGGACAAGGGCTCTGTGTCAGAGGCAGAGAGGGGGCCAGAGCCGTATGCCAGTTATCAGCTGCCTTCAGAGTCAGACATCAGTGAGGCAGAAGAACAGTTGGAGCCTGCACAGAGTTGCCAGACGAAGGGAACAGCTAAAGAACAGGGGTCAACTTGGGAATAAGGTCACAGGTGGATGATGAATGGCCCCTCCCAGAGAAAATAAAAGAGGAGCGAAAGGGAAGTGGAGTTTGCAGGAGACAATAGTTTGCTTAATTGGTTCGTGACTCTCTGAGCCTCCTTGCCAAGTTTTGCAGCTATCAGCCTGTCAGCTCTCCAAGCCAGATAAGGTCTGTGACTCCCTCGAAAGACTTTGCTGGATGTGAATGAGCAGAATTCACAGTAAATTAATAAAAGGGATTTTTGCAGGACAAGGAGTTTGTTTCATGCTCTTGCGAAGCCTAGGCCAGAACAGGAATATCTTATTCTAGCATGCAGGCAGAAAATCATGGATTGATATTACAGGAAGACAAAACCTAGTTGAACAACAAGAGCAGATTGGAGAAGGAGAAAGAAACCAGAGAATTGGAAGGCTTTCCCGTTGCATATTCAGGCTGGTGCTAAACAGCCATCTGTCTGGAATCCCTTGATTTGGATTTAACATTGAGCAAGGATTGGATCCAATGGCTTAACTGACCCTTCCAATGTTACGCTTCTATGATTTGGGTTGTTGCATTTTGTGGATGGACTCACTTGTTTTGGCCATGTCATGTGAGTGAATTCACTGGGGAAAGCAATTATGTTTGGAAGAATTAATGGCAAAAGGAAATCAGGATGCGAAAGAACGCAGTAGCTGGACACCATCGAAGCTGACATCAACCTGAGCATAGAACAACTCAAAGGAACAGTGCAAGACTGGAAGATGTGGAGAGACTAGGACAGTGGGATTCAGCTGGTTCATACTGGCTTGGGTGGACCGGTTGTTAAATTACTCCCCCTTTCCACTATCAAAGTGGATCCTGGGCACTGTGCTGCAATGGAGAAAAGGGCAACGGAGCAGCCAGCATGAGGGAAGGAGAGGGCACTTTCCCTTTTCTCCCTGCTCCTCCTCCCCACGTGTCGGCTGGTCCATTGCCCGTGGAGCCGAGGTGGCGCAGTGGTTAGAGTGCAGTACTGCAGGCCACTTCAGCTGACTGTTATCTGCAGTTCGGCGGTTCTAATCTCACCAGGCTCAAGGTTGTCTCAGCCTTCCATCCTTCCGAGGTGGGTGAAATGAGGATCCAGACTGTGGGGGCGATATGCTGACTCTGTAAATTGCTTAGAGAGGGCTGAAAGCCCTATGAAGTGGTATATAAGTCTAACTGCTATTGCTATTGCTATTCTCCATTGCAGCGCAACGCAGCATCCAGGATCCACTTTGATAGTGTTTGTTTAACAATCGATTCGCCCAGGGAGTTGGCCATTGTGGGAGGCTCATCTCACATGTGCAGCAGGAGCTGGTGGATGGAGGTGGATGGCGCCACCCACAACAGCCAACCTGACCCTGGGTGAACCAATTGTTAAATTATCTGAATCTCATCACCTGGTCCTGGCCCATAGAGTCGGACATGACGGAAGGAACAACCCATGATCTATCATCATGGGTTGTTCCTAATTTTACATCATTGCGGGAATGTGTAAAAGCGCACCTGGTTTTATGGCAAGCAAGTAATCTTTTCCATGGCACCGTTCTCAAGTTTCACAGCATACTTACTTATGATGAGCAGCTGCCTGCACCAGATTTTAAGCAGCAGAATGTGTGTTTGTAAAATAAGCAAATGTGTTGCTGGTATGGATTGGTATAATTTGCACAAAAGGTAAATGTTCTGAAACTCAGCTGTCATCCTTCCAAGAAGAAT